AAATGTACAAACAAATTTTTATTTCTTTAATTGCATAAATATCTAGCAGTCTAGTTGTTTTATTTCAAAAATTAGCTCAAATGACGTATTTGAATAAATTATACATAATTTCAAATTGTTACTTTTCATTTTTAGTTTAAATGAAATTTATCCAAGATTAAATTTTCTTAATTTTTCTTCTCTGTAATTTCTTAATAAAAATTATACACTTTTTAGATAAAATAAACGTTGATAGATCAAAAATAATTCTCGACGCATTGTTCACCAATTCTATTTATTCAAATATATTATTTGGACAAACCTCGATTTCCTTAAGCCTCTTCTCGAACATATGAATTCTTTCGAAAACTAACTTCTCGTGAAATGACCAAGGTATAGGTTCTTGCGATTTAAAATAACCTTCTACCTTCTCTTTAAATGTTCGAAACAATTCTTGATAATTGCTGAGAATCGGTATTACCTCTGCTATCTTCACTTTATTGTCTTCGATGTCTCCTTCGAATAAAGTCGACGGATTTATATGTTTCACTGCCTACCGGAAGATATTCAAATGAAAAAAAAAGACATTTCTATTCTGTTTTAATCTTTCCACGCAATTCATTTTCAAAAGTATCCATTATTGTACAAAAATGTTTCAAATAAAATTTACTGCATCTCGAGGAGAATACTTTATGATACACTGGATTTATCGTGGATTAGATTATTTTGAAAAAAATTTTAGTATTTTTAGAAACGTTTTTTACAATTTTCGAGACAAAAACATCCTCATTTTTCCGTCTGCTACACTGATGTAAAATCATCTTTGACGAAGAATGACGAATTCGAATGACGAGTTAAATTAGAGATTCTATGCCTCAAAATGAGATGAACTGGATAATCATATGATTTTCTTTTACGAAATTATTTTAAATTGTCGATAATATTTCATCGTTATTGGCTCAGCTATGTTTTTCACTTAATTGTATTTTAACTTAATTGTTGTAATTTTTGACATTTTTCATTAATCAATAAAACGTATCATAATTTCATTGTTAGAATTAAAATTTATACAATTTTATAATAATTTGGTGATGTTTATACAATAAATTAAATACCTGAGAGATCAATAAATTTGAAATTTCTCGCAACAGAGCAATAATTCTTTGCATGGTATAGTATCTCGAATTCGCCCACATTAAACAAACGCAGTGCAGTAGTATTTTTAATTTCCATATTATATCTCTGAATTCAACGTTTTCAATCTCATTGAAATAAATTTCCAGAGGTTTCAAATAAAGATTGATATCCCTTGTTTCCAATAATGCTAAAAGATTAGGGTAGAATTCATTTTAAAATAGGAAATATATCTTCCAGGAACAATAACCTTTACTCTTCCTTTTAATTTAGAAAAAGAAGTCAGTGTGCCATTGAAGATTAATTTACAGTTAAATTACTTGATTTTACAATTTTTTATTTAGTTTAATTTTATTATTAATATTGCTATTTTAAATATTGTCTACTGTGGAAAATTTAAAATAAAATAAAATAAAATTATTTAAAATAAAAATACATAATATATTCTAAATTGCAATAATCTAATATAAATCATAGTATCTACATGTAATATATGAAATATATATCTAAAATCAAAAAATATTATTAAATATTGCTTCGAAATATCATAAAAAGGAAATATAATTTTCAGATATATAAATCTTTATATTCCTTATATTAAAAGTAAGATAATGCTATTTCAACCAACGTTAAAAAGCAGTAACTTCAAAATTACAAAGAATAAAATTTTCATTGTCTCTGAAACATCTTTCTCTGACTATCGTGTACTCACCAGCAGTCACATTCTTTACTAAATTTTTGAAATACTCCGAATATGGACTTTCTGTTTTTTCTAAAAATATATCTATCTGTTGTATCTTTGGATCTTTTAATTGAAAATAAAGGGATTCCATATTTTTTAATCTCATACTCCAAAAGTCCAACTCTGAAATAAATAAATAATAAAGTGTTAAAAACTATCAGAAGAATGTTAAAAATTGTAATATTAAAAAGAATTATGTTGTACAATAATAAGATAAAAATGAGAAATTCTTTCGGCCGATTATAGTCTGATTGAATGTAAACAAACGATGAAATAGAGAGAAATATATAGAGTTATTTGAAAAAAATGTCGATGACCGAAAAACTTCGGGGGAAAAAACAACTTTTGAAAAAACGGAACAGACCTGCGGAATTTGGCCAATATCATTTAAATTACGTATACAATATTTTCTGCGCTCTTATAATTAAAAAAACTACTTGAGGGTCATATTTAAATTGCGACAAAAATAACACAGTTCGCAAAGATATGTATTTTAAAAGCAAAAATCTGGTTTTCAACAAGATTCAATTATATATTAACTGATAAAGCAACGCAATTCAAAGTAACACACTTCGTATTTTATCATATATATATTTGTTCATAGTGATAAAATTCATAATAAGAGGTATTTGTACAGTAGCATAATGTCACATGAATCAGGAAAAGCAAGATGATTCCTTTTTACCGGACAAATTATGAAGATCAAAAAATAAGATTTATATAATTGGTGAAGGATTTATATATACATATATAAAATAATAAACATTAATAATATAAAATAATATAAAATAAAATAAAATAATATACAATAATAAAATAAAATAATAAACATTTATATATATATATAAAATCATGATAAAAAAAATAATAAATTTTAAAGACAGATATCATTTGAAAAATTGTTAAACTACCAGACACAGGAATTTCCTTTCCATTCTTTGAAAGCATTGAGAACTCTACGTTTAAAATCTCGTTAATCTGAGTTGCCCACTTTATTACGATTTCTTCTATATTATTCTTTAATTGGAGTAATTTAGGAGAGTCTAATCTCAATTGTTGATTGATTATTTCTTCGATACCCATTGGCATTGGTAATAAAGTTTGTCCAGTTATTTTTCCTTTTACCTATATTTCATATAATTATTATTATTAGATCACCAGAGAGCATTTTAATTTTTTAATGCGTTTAATAATAAATCAATTAAAGATTAATCAACGTAAAAATATGTTCTATATATGAAATTATTAATTTTACCTAGGAAAACATTTTGCGATAGAAATGTATTGGTTGCATATGTACATCTCATGAATATTGCAAGGATATCGTTATTAAAAAATGATTAGTAAAAAATATTTATTTATATTTTATATTAATAAAACTGATGCACCATTTTTAAATAATAATAATACCTGATAAAAAATAAGATATAAAAAGTGATTGTTTGATTATTTTCAAAAAGGAATATTTTTCTACCTGCCATATTAAACTTCGGAGGTCGTATACTTGCTTCTTAACATCTTTACGAACAATTTCCGGCCAACCAACATGATTTTTCGGATTCGATAAAATAGGTACGTATGCCTAAACACGTTACAAACATCACAAAATAATTATATGTATAATATTTTGATTAATTTTGATTGCATGATATAATTTTTAATTATTTATATATTTTTACGTATTTTCGTGTACTTCTAATATATACATATTTATTTATACATATTATTTATATAAATACGTATTTATTATTTATATAATACATATTTAAAACGTAACAAAGGTTTTAGAAGATAAAAAAAAAGAAGAATAAAAAGAGAATAATATATAAATAAATTTTTACATTATATTTTAGAAATTTATGTCGCAAATTTTTTTAAAAACTTTGTTTTTTTAAATTTTAAATTTCAATCTTTTTAAAATCAAGCTTATTTGTTTGAACATATTTTGTAATCAGTATTTACACGATACAATAAAAAAATATATATATATATACAAAAGTTGTATACCAAAAAAACATATTAATGATCTGGAAGAAAATTTTTCATATTATTATATTTTGTATTATTATATTATATTTGTTATATTGGAAAAAATGTATTCTAGCCAGATTTTTGGCCCTTTTAAACTTTCCTGCTTCACAATCTGAAGAAATATTTAAGTGTCTTTACTTAAATAGATCACACTATATATAGTTTATTCAGAAATCGGAATAATGCAGAAGTGAAAAAAATACAGACACTTTTATGAAGTGAAATGTCAAAAATAGCTACATATATATCAAGATATATGTGATGGTAGAAATAAAAACTAACAAGGGAAGATTCCCATTCTGAATTCAGAAAAATTTTAGGGATATGTAGAACATGTACAATTGTGTATCATGCAATTTATTCTACCGAAAGACAAGAGAACAAAATTGACCTCTGAAAGTTCTTCTATTTTTCGAGAGACAGAAAAAGACTTCAATTTTTAATTAAAAGTGAAATTCACGTGAAGTTGAATTCAACTAGAATTGAAAATTATAAACGATGAAAAGTGAATTTACTGAGAGACTAACAATAAGAATCAAATTATAATAATATAGATGTGAGAATACTAATTTGCTGAGAATATTGCAATAATTAAAAATAAAAATAATAATAAAGATAATAGATAAACTATAGATAATAGATAATAATAATAAAGATAGATAATAGATACGTTATCTATAGATAATAGATAAATAATAATAAAGATAATAGATAATAGATAAGAGATATTAGTCTAAAAAGAACAATTCCTTTGAGATTTTCTATCTTTACGAGTAGAATACGGTGTAACAAAGAAAGAGAAAATTAAACTCAAAATCTCTAAAAATCGAGTTTACGATCTTTTTTTTAACAGATTTATTTACTAGAGCAATGACGGTAAATTTCTAATTTAGCAGCTTTTCACAATTTTTTTTCGCCCTGTGTTTTTATAAAAAAACATAATAAAATAAACATAAAAAATATAAATAGAAAGAAATGGTAGATTTCATATTCCTCAATATGTAAGATCAGAACCCGGAGCAAAAGAAGGAAAAAAAATTTATAAAAAGCCACGAAATTTATCGCAATGACAAATAATTTTATACACCCTGTACATATATAAGGAAGTATGCGAAAATACTGAAGAGACGTCAACACCAAAGAGAACAAATTACTTGAATTTAAACTTGCCACTATCGATAAAACAACTTGTTGCATAAGCACCAGCCATGATGGACAACATCAACATGATGCGGAATAAAATACAAAATAGATGAAAGCTTGATTTATAGACTGTATGGAAACAAGAAAAATAGAGGATACAAATTAAAGGAATGCCTCGTGTAGAAAGTGTTTAGTATTAACGATTTGATTTACGTTATTATTACTGTCCGTGGTCCATTATCTCTATTGAAAGATAAATGGCTTTGAGGTGTACATATTTCGAATATATTAATTGTTTTTTAAGTGGATGCGTATATAAGAATCATATGAAAATCAACGTTGTTTTTTTTTTTAAATAGAATCATGAATTTTTTAATGTACGAACCTCGATATTTTTTATAATAAAATATTAACATGAATAAAAAAACTATTACTTTATTATTTATTTATTATTATTATTTTCTTAACTTATTTATTAATGTTAACAAAAATTATTATTCAATTTTATTTATTTTAATTCCAATCTTTTATAATATACCATATGAAGGACAAGGATGACATCTATATTTAAACATTATTATAATCTTCTATATGATATTTTACACAATATTGATAATTTTTGGTAACTGATAATTTTTCTTTTAAATCTAAATTAATAATCTTTCAATATACATATATATGAATTAATACTTTTTAAATTATCAGAAAAATATGGTTTTAAAAAATTATAGATTACCTTCATATAATTTTAGCACATATATTTATAAAAAGAAATTAATGATGTCAGAATTTACACATCTCGGAACAATTCATCTTTCATTTCTTGCTACGGATAATTTATGATAACATTAATTTATAATAACGTAATGGTGAGATATTATTTTACATGCAGAATTGCATTCACACACTGAAAAGGAAAGAATGAAGAAAACAAATAGAAATAAACGCAGAGAGATTACTCCTAAATATTAAGATACCAAATTTTTGATTTTTGAAAAATTGTTATAACTGTCATAACATTGTTGTGAAAAAAATCGTACAATAATTCACTTTTAGCTGATTTCAAAATATAAGATCTCTACTTTCATAATACTGAATTCATTCCTTTCAAGAATGTTTTTTCATCACACAATAAGTGAAAAAATAGGAGATACTGTTTTCTCTTGAAAATAGTATAAATTGAAAATATTAAAAAATATTAAAACATAAAAACATTATAATACATGCATAGTTTGCAATTAGAAATTACGTGGAATGTACATTAAGGATCCATATCTTGGTGTACGTGTAAAGATTAAGAAATTAAAAATCCATGTTCACGAATCCATGACTTTATACATATACATATAGTTGAAACATTTGCTACTTTATATCGCTCTTACATGGCTCTAATTAGAGTTGAGATTTCTTCATTTTCAGCAGTACCAAAGTAAAGCACGAAACTTTAACTACTCTACACCGACACTCGAGAAATTATAATAAATTCAATAAAATGAAAAAAGAAAAAAAAACGTACAACAAGAGTCGAGTTCAATTTTTTTTAATTAAATGATGGATATAATGATGAGAAAAATTTGTTAATGGTTTCAGAGACAGTTCGAATTTTTAACAATTTTATAGAGGAACTTAGAAATGTCAAAGTATTTATTAATTGATTGTCACTGTTTCAAAATTTTCAGATGTTACACTTTGAATTGTTTCCTGTTTGCTCGTTAGTATATAACATTCAAAAGCTAATCGTTTTAAGTGAATATTTTGTTCAAATTGAACAGCATAATTGTACCAATGACAATGAAAAATTATCGATAATTTGAACTGATGTAACTTCATAAAGAAAAAATCAATAGCAATCCATTTGGTGGAGAAACATTTATTTATTGGGAAAGTGAGGATACTTTTCTCTCGAAAATTGTAAAAATTTACAGACGTATGTGAAAACATTAAACAATTAAACAGATTTTCTCTTTAAAACGAGCCCCTAAAATCTTTTCTACGATTTTTTTTTTTCATGTAAATTTCAAAAATTAACTTAAAATATGAGAGTTAAATGACGAAACATTAGGATTTCTTGAATTTTTATCCCCAATGTTTAACCCTGATATTTAATGTTCGATAAAATGAACGTCATAATTTTCGTCAATTATGCTCTTCATTATATTAAACATAATGGAATTAAAATATTAGATAATCAAAAAAACTTGCTCGGTTTTCGGTAATTCGCTTCAGTTGATATATAACAGAGCTCAAGTTTTTAGATATATCAGATGTGCATTAGTTAATCGGTATTTCTTGATCTGTTATGTATACTTTTGTATTGTGACTTTCTCTCAGTGATTGCCTTCTTTTCTTAGCATTGAATGACTATATGTATA